GCACTCGAACTGGTTCCACTGTCCACCATCTTCTGAGAAAATGCAAAGACTTTCCGCGCAAATGACTTCCAAAAATATCCCCTACCTCACAAAACGAATTGAATCCTCGTCGCCAATGTAACGATGTCACTTGGATGGCCGCACAATAACCCAGATTAAACTATAAAACAAAACTAGTCTTTATTCATCCGCCATGACAACCGGAAAGCATGGCCTTACCCACCCTGCACCCTGCACCAAATTTATTGCATTGAGAACTGTCCCTGTCTACTTGGCTAGTGGGCAAAGAAAGATCAAAGTAAATGCGCTCTTGGATGACTGCAGCAGCAGAACCTACTTAAACAGTGACACTGTAGCAGAACTTGTACTTGAAGGAAGTGCACATGAGCTAACATTAAATGTTCTGAATGACAACCAGGAGACATTTGAATCAACAGTGGTGGAATTTACAATTAGCAGTTTGGATGGAAAAGTGTCCAAGCAAGCGTCAGCCTATACAACAGAGAGAGTCACAGGCAACATGGAAGTCGTCGACTGGAGACGGTGTCAGTCCAAGTGGAAGCATTTGCAAAGCATTGAGTTTCCTCAAGTAGGTCCCAGAACAACACTAGACGTGTTAATCAGAGCGGACCAAGCAGACCTGCTGTGCTCTTTGAAAGATTTGAAAGGTCGATCTGGAAAACCTATTGCTAGACTTACTCCACTGGGGTGGACTTGTATCGGTAGCCCAGATGACAAGGCAGAGAGAGTCCATGCCAACTTCACCTTCTTCTTGAGTGATTCAGATAGGCTGAACAGCCTCTTCCGTTAAAACTAACAGCGTGAATCCAAATGAGAAGCTAGCCAGAGACACAGTTGCTAACTCACTGACATTTGTGGATGGTCATTACACTGTTGTAATGCCTTGGAAGAGTGGCAAACGTCTATTGCCAGACATTTACAGCATGCCATTGTACCGTCTGCGAAATACTGAGAAGAGGTTACAAAAGTCCCCTGAGCTTAGTCAAGCTTACGAGAGAGTACTGCAGACCTATCAAGAAGCAGGATACATCCACAAAGTTCCACAGGAGGAAAAGAAGCCAGATCAAGTTTGGTATCTGCCACATTTCTAGTAATAAGACCTGATAAATCAACGACCAAAACCTGCATAGTATTTGATGCCTCCGCTAAGTGTAATGGAGTGTCTCTGAATGACAATGTATTACAAGGGCCTAAACTACAGAATGACTTGTTTTCAGTACTACTCCGACTGCGCCATGAACCAGTGGTTGTAATGTGCGACATCAAAGAAATGTACTTACAGATTAAATTGCAGCCAAAAGATCAGCCTTATCATCGCTTCTTGTGGCGGAATATGGAGATAGACAAAGAACCTGACATTTTTTTAATTTGACTGTGTAGTATTCGGAGCGAATTCATCTCCTTTCCAAGCCCAATTTGTTGCCCAAGAACATGCCAAGATATCAGTCAGAGTTCCCCTGGCAGCCGAAACCATCTTGAAAAGTACGTGTATATATGGATGATAGCATGGATTCAGTGCCTCATGTGAAAACTGCAATTGAACTATACAAACAGTTGTAAGAGCTTAGGGGTTCAGCTGGCATGTATGCCAGGAAGTGGTTATCAAATTAGCCGGAAGTCTTGCGGAGCATTCCATTCAGACTGCGCCACTGAAGTTGATCTTGATCGTGGTGAATTACCTCAAGTCAAAATCCTAGGAGTCCTTTGGTCCCCCGTGGAGGATGTGATTAAGTTTCAAGTCAACCATCTTGCTGAGAAACGTGACCAAACGAAACGAAACTTTTTGAAAGGTATAGCAACATTGTTTGACCCTCTTGGCCTGTTAACACCATACACTGTCCGAGCCAAGATCCTGCTTCACGAAATGTGGGCGAGTGGTGTGGACTGGGATGGGCCTGAGTTGGTAAAAACTTGTCACAGCAGGAAACACAATGGTTCAATGAACTGCCAGCACTGTCCAGCCTTAAAGTTCCGCTATGCCTGAGAGATCCCATCACTATTAAAGAGATGACCATGCACACTTTTGTGGATTCATCCTAAGAAGCATATGATGCAGCGTGTTATGTTAGACACCTTTACAAGGATGGAGCTGTTTCTTCCCACCTTGTGGCATCAAAATCGCGTGTTGCATTACTCCAAGCCGTTATCATACTGAGATTGGAACTCATGGGGATGGTTGTAGGACTCAAACTTGCAGAAACCGTAGGACAGGCACTTGGCATTGACAAGAGCAAATGGGTCTTCTGGTCTGACAGCATGGATGTACCTTACTGGATTCGAGGTCAGAGTCGAAAGTTTAAACCATTTGTGGCTAATCGCGTGGGGGAAATCTAGGCGTCGACCAATCCGGAGCAGTGGAGATATATGCTGACTACGCAGAACCCGTCTGACTTACTGAAAAGAGGGCTTAGTGTCTCCGCTCTTGCTGATGAAGACAAATGGTGGAGTGGTCCCATCTTTCTGAGGCAGGACCCTTCTGAGTGGCCAGAGAACAAAATTGAAACCAAGAGAGTGACAGATGTTGAGATCCGGAAGTCGCACCAGATGAAGAGACGTACTGAGGAAAGAGGATTCCTTCCTTCAAGCAATGAAGACCGATTAGAACCACGAAGATACTCAAGTTGGAGTAAGCTCACAAGAGTTTCTGCGCTAGTGAACCGATTCATAGAGAACTGTCGTTTACCAGTAGCTCTTCGAAGAGTTGCCCTACAACCTGATGAAGTCATCCCTGCAGGGACACATTTTATCAGACAAGCACAGGAAGAGGCCTTCAAGGAAGAGATGCGGACAGTAAAGGTTGGGAGGGAACTACCAAGCACAAGAGAACTGCAACCTTTGAAGCCTGTTTTAGATGAAGATTGAGTCCTGAGGTGTGATGGAAGACTTCGCTATGCAGAGTACTGTGGTAGACCCGTTACCCCATCATCTTACCTCGTAATCATTGGGTCACGACCCTCATAATCAAGCAAGCTCACGAGTAGACTCAACATGCGGGAACCAATCACTTATTGGTTCAGCTTTCAGTTCAATATTAGATAATCTCAGCTAGAGAGGCAATCAAGGAGTGGGAAAAAGAGTGCATGCAGTGCCGAAGAAGGAAAGCTACCCCAGCCAAGCAGATGATGTCCCCTTTACCTGAATTACGTAAAGGGAAGTCTTTACGAGCCTTCAGCCAAACATCTGTTGACTTTGGAGGACTTTTCATTACTAAACAAGGAAGAGGCAAGACCGTCAGAAGAAGTACCTTAATCTATTCACATGCATAGCGACAAGGGCTGTGCATCTGGAAGTAGCATTTAGCCTAGACACCGACTCGTTTCTGAACGCGTTCTTTCGAATGGTTTCGAATGGCGTTGCGACGCGGCCTCCCAGAAGATGTTATGTGTGATGACGGTACTAACCTTGTTGGTGGGAGAAATGAACTAAAGGATTTAAAAGCCCTGGACAAGAAGAAAGTTCAGAATGCCACCCTAAATTATGGGGTCAGTTGTTACTTTAATCCCCCGCTAGCCCCGCATTTCAGTGGTGTACATAGAAATTATGATTAAGGCTGCAAAGAAACCCATTTATGCCATCTTGAACTGTGCAGACATCACGGATGAAGAACTCTTGATTGCTGTTGTAGGCGCAGAAGGGCTATTGCCTCAGGCAACTCTTACGCTTCTTTCATGCTCTCCAAACTTCCCACGTGCTCCAGAACTCGATAGTGCACGCTAAAGCATGAACCAATTGTCAAATGTTACGAGGCTGCGCGTGCAACTGAATTAAAGGTCGCGCGCTGCTCTATTGCGTCAGTTACATTGACTCCTTCTGAATTAATTAACAAGCCTGTTTAAGTGTGCAGGATACAACTTCGTGATGAGGTCGTTGACATTTTTTTTTATGATTCCCATAAATGAAGTTGTCCTCCTTTGAAAGCTACTATGCCTGTGTTCTGTCCATTTACCGGAACTCGTCCATTTAGCGGAACTCGTAGTGTGCGCAGCGAAACCTCATACTTATCAAAAATGGTAATGATGACAATAGATAAAGCTGAGAAAATTTAGTTCATCAAGTGACCCCACGACCGACTGTCCGTGCAAAATACTACTCTCAGCATGCGAGAACAGTTTAAATGCGGGCATCAACCTTGGCACCATAGATATAGGAGGGAAACCCCATAGGCAAAAGGGGAAGGTAACATGCACGCCCGCCTGCGTCCGTATCAAGGAAATTATGCACTTGCGCTTGTAAACATATGAACAACCTGATGAAGAGTGCATACTCGAGTCTTTAGGGTCAAATAGACTAGGAGTAGCTCTCTTGTATTTTGATTCGTGCAGTTTAAATCAACTGATATCGACCAGAGTGCCTTAGATTCATAGTTAACAAAATTAAAATGAGGTAGTTTTTCAGATTTGCTAATGTAGCAATTCACTGTCATATTCGTTGTTCTTGTCCTCTAAACCTATAAAAAGTTAATAACCTCTTCCTTTCTTAAATTAAGAAAGGAAAGCCAGCCCTCTTACTGCCAAAAAGCTATTGCCTCCATACTACCCCCCCCCCTCCCCTCTGGATAATTAATGTCTGGTCCCTAAATTCTTGTGAATAAACTCTTCGATAGTCACTGAGGAGTGCCAGTATAGCGAAGGTCTGGAAAATAAAACTAACGGGAGCTTCACCTTTAGGCTGAACTTTTATGTCGCTCTTCTCTCCTTTTGTCTATACAACATGCACAAAAATTTATGTAATTTACATATTCACTGAGCGCTGAATTCGTACCTTTAGTTCGCAATCACTGGATTAAAAAGAACTCAGTACCACTTCACCATGAAAGCAACACTTTTATTATAACTCTAATTTATTCTCCCCTCAAAAAAATTGTAACTAGTTAATATAATGCTTACCTAACTGGGTGAAAAATTAACTGCAAAAGCTATTTCATTGTAGTATGAAAAGTTTTCTGATTCAGAGAGTGTTTCTTTGTGTCTTTCTTCCAGAGGTGTCTGGTTGTTCACCCTCAGAGCATCATACCCTGATAATTTCAGTGGGTCCCAAGCAGCGTAAGAGAAAGAGAAAGAGACAGCGAAAAGGATCTCAAGCGAAAATGGATCTCAAGCGAGCTAAGGGAAAGCAAAAAGGTGAAGCACAGAAAGAAGAAGAATTAAGACAGAATTTAATGCGTGAGATGGCTAAACGTTTTATCGATGAATGTAATGATGAAATCGCGTCGGAACCCTTTTTTCAGGGCCTTAAATACTACCTAGAACGAGAGCTCAATTTAAGAATAGAACAAGCCGTTGAAGGAAGTTTGAGAATAAAAGTCGAATGCAGGACACTGGAAATCCTCGAACGACTTTGGGAAGATTATACCTCCGGTCACCTCAATGCAGAAGCAGAAAAACGACTTTTGACAGATGAGATAAAGAGGACATATGATGTGGAAACCATAAAACTGGAAACGATCATTTTGAGAGAAGATTACTTTGCTTGCAAACTTTCATTCGCAGGTATTTCAAAATCTCTTATTACCTTGGTAGCTTGACGTCCTATTTCATACCTACAGAGTAGTGGTTATTAATTACTATTCCACCCTTTATAAATTGTATAAATTTAAAGGTGAGCATAGTCAAATAAATATTTATAGAAAAATGTATCAATTATCTAATGCTTTTGTTTTTCAAAAATCGAAAAACATACAGTGCATTAGATTCCGGTCCATTGCCTCCACAATTTCGGAGGAGATGTCAAACTTGGGACATCGACCATCAAAGAAAAAGTTATGGGTAATTTCTTCAAAAAATAACAACTAATACATCACAGAAGACTTAAAAATGTTGTCAGAACATCAGTGACACAGTCGGCTGTGCCTCGTGTGCAACTATTTTGTACTTACCTCAAATGAACTGATCTATGAAGGTTCAACGTTTGCAATGCAGTGACACAATACAAAAAGAGCTCACCACTTGTCAAATAAATGTTTATTGAGTCATTGATAGTCGTTTTCGTTTAGCGCTTTTATAAATACCTTAGAAGGAGTGAAAACAGGAAAAGGAGAGGAAGCAAGGAGTTATATATAGACTTTGTTTCGCCGCTTTGCTAGCGTTTATCGCGACTAGGTATTTGCATGTACAGACTGAAATTAGATCCACGAGCTGTGTGACAAGACCGTGTTTGAGATTAACTTTACAAAACGAGCCATGTAAAAATCAGTGCTATTTCCTTTCATAGACTATACTCGATGCTGAAGATTTCGGATTGTTCACGGCTCTTATATCTTTATATCAATGCTAGTTAACTTACTTGTAGTCAGAATCCTACATCTGGTCGGTGAAATACAGTCTGTCTTAATAAGTCAGTAAATTGATATAATTTTTTACGGAAAAATAAAATCTAGTGGCTGAAATTGTAAAACATAACGTTTTCTGTGCGACCAAAAAATAAACCAGCTCGCATGCTAAAGTAAGATTCTAAACGGTATCCGTTCGATGGTTCTCGATTCTTGAGTAGACTTGATGTACAGTCAGAAATCTCTCGCCCCAGGCTTCCGATAGGTCACATATCATAGCAATCACGACCACAGGCAGCCTAAGCTCACTACTAGAAAAGCGGACGTGACTCTTACCGTGTTGCGTAACGTTTTATATTTATAAAGGTTTGTATGGGATGTTATCGGTTTGCCTTAAGAGAGAGAAAAAAATGTCTTGTTTTGAATTAAAATGGGCTTATTCTCGATTCTTGAGTAGACTTGATGTACAGTCAGAAATCTCTCGCCCCAGGCTTCCGATAGGTCACATATCATAGCAATCACGACTTAAACAAAGTTTGCTTATCTTTTTTTCCAACACAATCCCTTTAGGAAACATAAAAGTTTCATTTACTGATGCCAAAAAATCAAGGATCCCGCTTACTGGTGAAATGGTTCCAACCAGCAATGACATAAAAAATGGCATCCATGCTTCCGATAAAGATCTTACACTCTTTAGCGATGAAAAGGTCACTGCGGTCGTCACTGCCGATACTAAAAGTGAAACTACAGAAAGAACTCAGAAATTTCCATTGGTGTTGACGAAAGGACAGATTGAGGAAACAGGTATGGATGATTCCCCCATACCATTACCTAAACTATAACCTTCGCCTCATTTTAATTTGCTAGCGAAATGTCTTGAGTGATCGCCGAGGCTTTAATGGTTGGTGGCGAAGAAAAACGTCTCCTGACACCTCATATCCCTAGACGGGTAAATGCACAGTTTTCATTTCCTCTCTCTACCGGTCCGGGATAAATCCTATGACTTCTTAGCATGGCGCTCTTTCAGCAATCAGTGAATTTTCAGAAAACAGTCATTTTGATTGTATGAGTGATCTTCGCAGTAATGATCTCTACCAGGAGCCCTTTACCCCTGTCTCTACGAAAGCAGTAGTGAAAATAAGGCCTGAAAAAAATTCAGGCCTGTACAGGTTTCGAACCCATGACCTCTGCTTCCGGCACAGTGCTCTACCAACTGAGCTAACAAGCCAACTGGGAGCTGGTCATAATGTTGGTTCTAAAACTGCTTAAGGAGTGATCATTATAGCGAAGATCGCTCTCATACTAACTGTTCCCAATCGGTAGAACGGTCAATATCCAAAGGGGTCGTCACACAGAGCAATTGATTTTACCTTTTAATTTCATGTAGGAATGAACTACAAAGTCTCAAACGATCTTTTTCTTCCTTCGTCTCATACGTGTCAAAAGTGCGCCCGCGAAACAACAAAGCGGTAAATTCGTCAAAATCACAGGGGCAACGAGTTAATCTTTAAATGGCTAAATAATTACAATTTTTTGATTTTTAACACTAACAAAATAACTGGGTAGAGTAATGATGAGCTTAAATTTTCTATTTTGAAAAACGCACGTATCGAAACATTAATTCCAAAGTTTTATTCAGGAAAGCCCTGCACGATTTTTACTTGTGATTTTTTATTGTAGTTTTTAACGGTTTTAATCTAGTGCTTGTCTTCTTTAAATATTTTTGTTTGTTCTTACTTATGTTATAATTATTAAGTATTTTTTCAACAGCGGGACCCCGTTGATAACAGTACTTGGTACTGAGGGGCTATCCCGGATAAATATTCGATTATTATTATTATTATTATAATAATAATAATTATTATTATTATTATTATTATTATTATCATCATTACTGAAATTCATGATATGCCTTCATGAACCAGAAAAAACGTCCTTCGTTAAAATTCTTAAATTGCGCTGTTTTATTCATAGTAACAAATTATTGTATTGAACTATGGAATTGAAATGATGTCAACAATAGGCACTGGATTTCCACAAGCTGTCAATATGGTTTAATTACATAATACTCAATGCCTATTGTTACCTCCGAGGTAACACTTTAATTCAATAAGGGGCGTAGCTGAAGGGGAGAGGTTCCTGAGATGCCCGTGAACCCCCCTCTTTGTCTCTTTGTAAGCCATAGTTTGTCTCATAAAGTAAAACACGGCTTGGAGGTCGACATGATAATTTAGTGAGTGTCTTTTATTTGACACTGTGTGAACCCCCCCTCTCAACACAATCATCGCTTGTCGAGGACACTTTAAATAGCGTGACTATAGTTTTCTTGCAATAAGTTTTATCTAGCTGCATTTTGTTTTTCATAGTTTCTGCATCGCCGATGCCCAGTCCGCGAGATATAGATGCAAGGAGAAAAATTTTCGAGTAAGTATGTTTTTCGGAACAATTTGATGAGGGTCCCCTACACTTTTTACTTGAAGCGTGTTTGGGCTTTTCTTTTTCTCTTGAGTCGTGATTTGTGTTTTTTTAATCGTTATTCATGATTAAAGATGATAAAATCATGTCATGTCTTCGTGAACGAATTTTTTTTGTTTGAACGTGACCCGTGAATTAAAAACTGCATAAACGTAATTCTTGAACCATTTTGTTTTGCGTGATAAATTTCCGGCTATCATGTTCGAATTGTTCTTGGTTAGGTTTCGACAAGAGCGTTCCTGGTTTTGACCAGGTTTTGACCGGAGATGGACTTCATATATGGACCGATAAAATAAAAACTTACTACTAAAGGTTCTTCAACAAATAAGATAAGACACTAGAGAGATTTAGCACCGCATTTACGTGAAACGATAAACGTCAACTTGCTCTTTCACGTTTCACATAAAATAGCGTGAACCTTACTGCTTTAGCTTCGCACAAGCCAACGTCATAGCGGATGTAAAGGCACCCTTGTAAGACGCACAAGAAATACGTTTTGGTGCCCTTTTTCCGGCAATCAACTTCTACTTTGTGTGAGAAAAGTGGAGAAAATCTTACGTACCCGATGAAAGCAAAACAGCTTACTTTCACGTAGAAACGGCAAAGCGGAACCGACAAACGTGAGAAAACAGCGGAAAAACGTGGTGGTCACGTTGTCGAGTAAGACTGGTTAAACCTAAGAAAGAGTTTTGCATAGTATTCGCCATGGGTGAAAAGGCCAAATATCATTTTTGCATGATTGAGTTTTACAAAGGGGTATAGGGGGCCCTCTGTGATAGAGAAACTGTGTTTGTTTGCGACTTGAAAGTTGGCTTAACTGATTACGGTGTATAGACCACATAAAAGTAAGTGAACTGCATTGACTGGAATTTACATATGCTGTATTTTTAATTTATTTTACTCACGACAGTAGAGCTTAAGTAGTTGTGACAAACTCCCATGTAAATAAAAATTCATCGTGTTTTCTCTTAGTGACACCGTAGGAGTAATTTCCACGGAGACAGCTCTGTTACGAGAACAACCGTCGTTTTGTGAAACTTCAGCTTCTGTGAAGTCACCTGTAGATGACCTAGGTGAGAGTTGTTTTAATGTTAGAACAGTAGTAAGGAACGAGAAAGGAAAAATTCTGAAAGAAACTCGGTATTACCTTAATAGAATTCTCGTGACTTGACTCTGAGTAGACCCTTTACGTGGTTAGGCGGCTGTGGTGGCTGCTGCTTTCATTATTACCTATCAACTTTGGATACAAGTCGAGTAAGTAGTATTACTTAGGTGAAACCAGTTGTCTGCGAGAGTTAAGCCTTCGGATAATGACAGACTTTTTTGGAGTTCTAACCATGTATACCTAAAACATCTCATCTAATTCCCATATCTCTTAAAAAAACTCCCTCATTCAGCTCTCAATAAATCAGTCTTACTAGAAATTCAAAGAGTTTCCCAGCCATTAAAAAGCTGAAGATTATTCAGCAGTGTCTAACGGTCATCTAGAATGGCTGCTACTGTAAAATGACAAAACTTTGCTGAAAATTACTCATATTTTGTACCAATGAGAGACAAGCAAAATTAAAGCCAGCAAATTTTGAAAAAATAACTTCGTTTGAGGGAAACTAGAATTAGCTTTTTCTTTTTCAAAACCATTCAGGGAAACTTGTTAATAACCATTCAAATACTTACTTTTAAATTTATTTCTTCAGAAGTTTCATGTCGAGGTCGATTCTAATTACATCAATTTTGAATCTCACTGCAACTACTTCTTTGTTGACAATTTTTATTCTGTATTAACGGGTTGTTTCTGTTTATTTTTTGCCTAGCCCTAATCGGAGAGCTAAGAAATAGAACTGTTACTCAAAGGATAGCAACACGTTGTCAAGCACATATAGGAAACTGCTGGAGAACACTTGGAGTATTTTTTGAAATTGACGAGAGTGTACTTAACAACATAGAGACTGATTTCCCAACAGCTGAGGAAAAGGGATTTAAAGTTCTAGAAATATGGAGGGATAAGGAAGGGCGCAGTGCAACAGTGAGATGTCTCGAAGATGCCCTTCTTGAAATAGGCAAGAGAAGAATTGCAGAAAATATACTAGGTACTTAATACCGTACGTTTTATGAAAGTCATCCATCTCGATTGAAGTCCAGGTAGTTCTCGCGATGAGCTCGTAAAAAATTTTCTATGGTGCAACTAGACGTGACCACAGTGTTTGACTTGCTGTCAGAACCTGGAATTTGCATTTTCAATTTTCATCCATATTATCTAAATTCTCTCATTGAATTTTCCTCGTCCCTTGAATAGATATTGTTCGAGAAGAAAGAGGAAGGGAAAGCAAACAAAAAGGCGACAGGTCAAAAGGTACGTGGATTTTTCCTTTCCGTTCCGTGAAGAATTATTTAACGTCTGAATATTCTTGCACGCACGATCTTAGGAGTCTCTCGCTCTTCATATCATCTTAGGTGAACTTTTATAGAAGTTCCAAGTCCTCTTGTGAGTACTCTTTAACACTAGAAGTATCAGAATAGTGAGCTTTACTGTCCCACCGTTTGAAATATGCACTTTATCCCAAAATATTATAATTTTTGAGTAACATCACATCTCTACTGGTCACCTGTAATTAGTCAAGCTACGTGAGGATCGAGGCTAGAATTTTCTTCCTCATTCAGAAGCTCAATATCGGGCTTGTAGAGATGCTTTTTGAGATCATTTTCAAATCCAGAAAACTTACTGCAGATTTTTCCTTTTGGGGTTTACAAACCAGGTCAGGCATGTTTCCGTTTATACCCGTTGGTTTTGATTTGATCATGAGTTCTTTACTTTATTCCAGGCGCACTAATATCCCAGTAAGCAACTAACTAATTCGTATCTTCAGATCTTAAATCGTTATTTTAAGTTAGCACTATGATCCCTTTATGCCATCAGTGCTTCCCAAGGCCTTCCTTTTTGTAATTTAAACTGAATACATAAGCTTTACTTGTGCCTTGTCTTTAATAAAACTTGAGCTTACATAAAAAATCTTTATGATATGGTTTTCATAAACAGCCGAGTAGAAAATAAAGAAAACTAAATGATTAACATACCAAACCCTTAATTAAAATATGAGCCGTTATTGTCATGTAGAGACCTACATATAAATAATAAACGTTACACAGTAATCGTGCTAACGAGACGGTTGGTGATTCAAATATATTTTTCTTCTTGTTGCGGTACAATGCTTAATTTTTCGAAGGATGGACAACTAACAGCGTTATATTTTGTTTTTCTTTTGGCATTATTCGGTAAAGAGGACGAGCCAAATAGAGTGGCAAGACTCGAAAATGTCAGAAAGAAGAATCAGCCAAAACTCAAAACTAGAGGAGGTGAGTTTTAGTTCTGCACAGGGGCACAAGTTGTAAAGCATTCCCAAGCGATTCGGCTAATTTTCAAATCCTCTTGTAGTGTTTTAGAGCGCCAAAAGGTATTGGCGCGGAATGGCCTTCTCTGATTGCGGTTTTAGGTATACTTTATCTCATGTTGTAATACATAGTAGATTTTGATCAGAACAAAGTCTTTGCTGGCCACCCATTCGGAAGCCTAGTCATCGGGCTTGTATCCTGCAGTCTTACTGCGATTTTCCCTTTTCGGATTTACAAACCGAGTCAGGCATGTGTTCATGCCATTATCTTGTTAGTTGACGTCTTCACCTAAGTTTGGCTGAAAATATCTCCTTTGCATCTTAAATAAACAAGCTAGCACTTTCATTTCTATCCATCAGAGCTTCGGAGCGGACCTTAGTCACTTGCAGACTGGATACCCAAACTTCACGAGTCTTGTTTAGAAGAAGTTTTGAATTTGCGCAAAAAAAGATTATACAACATGGTTTTCATTGACGACTGAGTCGTAAAAAAGAGAGCTCTTCAGACCCCTTTACTCGACATGATGGGTAACCCAGAAAAAGCCTGATCGAAATGAACTGTTATTATTCTGAAGAGACATTGAGATAAATAATAAATAGTTGATCATCAATTCTATAGCAATTGAACTAACGAAACCGTTCGATTTTCCCCTATTTCATTTTTATGGCTGTCGTGGGATTGATAGGCTTTAGGAAGTTGGAGAATGAGTCTGAAAGAGTAAAAAGACTCGAAAACGTTAGAAGGGATAATGTGGAAAATCGCAAACCTGCAGCAGGTGAGTTTCAGTTCTGAGTGTCATTCAAAAGCGTGCAAACATTACAGGTTTTCCTTAGACTATTCACTTGTTGATTGTTCTTAAGCTCTATACCGTAAATCGCTGATGTTCTGTAAAATTTGTGCGATTACTAGTCAATTCATCAACCCGATCTGTCTACAAGTTTTTTTTCCATTAAGAGTCCTGTATATGGGTCGTATACGGTCAATTGAAAAAGTTCGAAAAAGATAACTTCTCATTTAAACACTCATCACCGTGATTTTGGATATCATCCTGCTGGTGGTCGAAACCGCTTGTAGACTTAAGTTTGAAAAGTATACTGTGCTGATTGGTTCAACTTTGAGTATTTTAGAGACAAAAATAAGGATTCTGTCGAGTTAAGAGTTTTCAAGCTTATTGTCCCTTACTGTGTTTTTGGTCGCCTTGGGGATGTTTTTTTTTTTTTAATTTAAACACTTTAAAAAGCTTAATCTAATCTACGTTTTTTAAAGTTTTAATTGAGTCCCTTAATCACTGCAAAAATTAATAATTAGCTTCACCGTACGATATTTGTTTTCTTGGATTACAATGTAGGAGAACCTTCCAAGACACCGCTAAAAAAGAAAAGGAGCAAGTCATCTGGTGCAACAAAAAAGAAAGCTGATATAGTTAAAGAGGCTGACATAAATTACTGAAAAAATCATACCGGTGATAGAAAATTCCTTAAGAGCGTCCTGAACAGGAAATTCCCCAGCGGCGTCATCATAACTTTGCTATGCTCTATGTTATCAACTCCGGCCTTTTTCAACAGCCGACGCGTAGAAACCAAAGGCTAGGATGGAGAAGACTAACTATGACTGGGGTGGAATGTGGAGCAGAGTTCAAAACCGCAACCAGCTGCTCTCCAAAGCGATTGAGAATGGACTGTTGATGACTAAAATTTCGCCAGCAGCCGACTGATTTCTAATCTTGTTGTACGACTTTGGGCCAATTTACCCCTCAATAATCGAAAGGTCCATCATATTTTCGTTGCGTTCATGTACACAAGTAAACAGTACGGCAATTGGTATAAATATGTGAAGCGACAACATCTTAAGTCAGTGATTTATGTACCTGTCGGGGCGTAGGTTTTTCCTGAGCCATTCGCGATTACTGCTAATTGCAAGCCTCCACGGTCACATCTCACAAGGCTCTAACTTGCGTAACCCACGAGATACTCTGACGTGACACTTTGTCACATGACTCATGACGTAACCCTACGTAGAACTGTCAAAGGTTATTAGACTCCATTAGACACCCGTACTAAGGGGGCCCGCACCGCTACTAATAACATAATTATTTAGCACACTAAAATAACGTGTAAGCGAGCCAGTACTTTATAACGTAGATGTTTATTAGTAGTCCAACATTTCGATACTTAGTAGAGAGAACTAATATTTTTCCACTCCAACTTGCTTGTATCACATTGAACGAAGAATTATTTGGCTGATATATTTAAAATGCTCCTTGTTTCTCCAGCTTATAAAAGCGTATGCTAATGTCTTTATGCCCGTTGTTTAGTGCACTGCTAATTTAATCAACTAACTATTGCATTCAACACATGACTTTGCCCTCTCGCAGTTTTTTTTTTATTCATAATAATATTTCTTTCTTCGATTTTCATGAGCTTTCTCGTGGTCAGGAATTGTCTACTTTTCAGCTCAAAATTACTCTGAAAGGGAAGAAAATCAAACAAGAAATTGTGTTCGGGCCACTTTCACTCTGAAATCCATACTCGGGGACACACTATGGTAGGAACTGAACTGCCCGCTGAAAAGATTCTGCGCACATTTCCGTGCCATATGAAGGCTGTTACTTGCATATTCTATTAATAATATCATGGCAAACCGCTGTCTAGGACAATAAAAACAGATTCACATACCGAAGAAATTTTCTGCATTCCTTCTCTAACCACAATTCAATTAGGCAGGTCAATACAGGGCGACGTGGGAAACTGTTGGAAGGACCTTGGAGTAGTTCATAAAATACCAGAAAGCGAACCTCACAATATAGGGAAAAACTTATAAACATGCTAAAGGAAAAGGACTTGCTGTACTTAAATCATTGAGAAATAAAAAAGTGAGTAAAGCAACTGTAGGATGCCTTTTGGACGCCTTTGAAAGTATTAACGACTTCCTTTTCTCAGTTCTTCGTTTTCAGCTGCGGAACATGAATACGAAAGTTATCATATATTGCGAAGTACACCGTTCATTACAAATTATTCAATAAAAAAAAAACCGGAGCATAAAATTTTCAAGTATTTTTATCCATTTTCGTTCCGAAATCCAATTCAGTAGTAACCGCTGGACAAGACAGGACAATACACAAATGCAACGGAACTAAAAAGAGCTTAGGCATTAAGTACTTTGCCATTTCCGATCGCAAAGATTCTAAAGGACTTGACCAATTTTGGTAGTGACAAGACATTGTTATGATTTCACTTTCAGTGAGTAACAAGCTTCTGTTTTGATTAGACAGAGAAAACTTCTAGTCTTACTACATTGCAAGAAGACTGCGAAGCTTCGAGTTACGGGGCATTGGTGCGTCCGGATCTACGATAGAATGGTTCGGAAGTTATTTAACCCCACGATACCAATATGTGCGAATAAACACAACTCTGTCTGCCAAACTACCTGTCAGCTCTGGCGTTCCAAAAGGGAGCATCCTTGGCCCATTACTCTTCAACATCTATGTTAACGACCTCCCTTCTGTACCAGAAAATTTTTCATCGCAGTGTTACGTCGACGATACCAAACTACTCATGTCATTTTAACTCCACGATCAGCACGCAGCGATAGCAAAGATGAACAAGGACTTGCTAAGTATTCGAAACTTTTGCTTCGATAATCAGCTTTTACTTAACCCAGATAAAACAAAATTAGTGATATTCGGCAGCCGGAAAATGACTGCTAAGGTTAGCGACTTTAGGTTATTTTTATTGGGGAAGGAACTCGAGCCCGTTAAGGCTGCAAGAGACCTTGGCGTCACACTGGTCTCTAATTTAACATATAATGAACATATTGTTTCCACTCTACCTTCATGCATGTCACGATTAGGTCAAATTAACCGCGTTAGGCATATTTTTGATAAACGTGCCTTAATTATTATCATAAATGCCCTAGTGTTTAGTGAATTATTTTATTGCTCTTCTGTTTGGAGCAACACTACTCAATCTAATTTGGACAAGCTCCAAGCAGTACAGAATTTCGCTGGTCGCATTTTGTGCGGCGCAAACAAATTCGATCATATAACTCCTTTGTTAAAAGGCTTGCGCTGGCTACCAATCAGACAACAACTTTATTTTCGTTTTGCCGTTCTGGTTTTTAAGTGCATGACGAGATGCGCTCCGGAGTATTTGACATCNCCTGCAAGCGCCTGTTGGAAGAAAAAAATTGCATGCAGCCCAAATGTAACAGAATAAAAAGAGAATTAAGATAGTGAATCAGTTTTATATCAGTAAATTTAACTTAAGTAAGGATAAATTCTTATAATTTTTGATTACGTTTTGTTGTTGCTATTTGTCTAAGTTTTTAATTTTTTCCTATTTTATCACAGGCAGTTTATTTAAAATAAGGAATCTAGAATTCTGTATAAACTGGCCTAATTACTCTTTTTCTGTATAAACTGACCTAATTACCCTTTTTTGTACTTGTAAATATATTTAACTCCTTGTTTTTGTTTTTGTATTGATTATCTGTGTAATTGAATTTGAGTAAATAAATAAATAAATAAATAAATAAATAAATATCCTGCACAACAGATTGCTAGAAAAAGATAAATTAACCTCAGTAAACCAAACCCCTCAATTCCGGAAACCGAACGCTTTTTTCAGTCCGTAATCACATACTGACAATGAAATTGACATCATTAAACCGGACGTGAAAGTCTTAAGCTTGCCGCCAAAATCAAATCACACGTTTTTAAACGTGATTAAACTTAAATTTGTAATCATGCAGCTCTGAAATCCCTCTCAGAAGTGAGAAACGCCGCGCATTGGCTAATTACTCATTGTTCTATCGTTGTTGAAGCAAAAAATCTAAAGTCGACAAATGTGCCGCTGTTGTTAGGTTGAATGAATGACAACAATAGGGGTCAGGTTGATAGACTGTCATGTTGCGGGTGAAATTAGTACTCGTGTACCATGTACTGGTACTTACAGTCAGACAATACATTATGCGGCATCAAATTGCCTTATGGGTAAAACCTCAGTACACCGCACACCCCTCTAAACCGGACATTTCCTCCGGTCCCAAGGGTGTCCGTTTTTTAGGGGGTTCCACCACAGGTAACCCAGGCTAACTGTTTGTGTCATGTACACTTGGTTAAATAGAGCGAATGTATGGGGCGAAGTTTATGTCTGGAAATTTGCTTGAAAATGGAATAAAATCGATGAAACTTACGGTGTGTGATTTGCTGTTGAGGAAAAATGGATTCTGGCCAATATTCCCGAGGGTGTAGTCTGACGGTGAGTTTTATCTTTGAGCAATCTGGGACTTCCCTCACTCCACGGGGACTTATTCTACTCGTCACCAGCTGCCCCGAGCTCAGTGTCAGTTTGCATTGGACAAGTTGTGATGTCAACGGTTTCGCGCCGTCATTCTAGTGAGTTTCGCGTTTCAACTAGAGCTGCTTTATTGGATTTACGGTGTAGAGTTATTCTTTTTATACGAGCCTGGCGTGTCTATTTGGCGACTTGATTGGATTTTCGCGAAAAAAATGTGCTGGATTGAGAGTCGATCGGTCGTCAACGCTGCCGTCAGCCTCCTACCTTGTCTCTCTACTATGAAGGAAAGGTGAAGAAAAGTATTTTTTTCCCAAAACTTTGTGTACATATTAAGAACAACAACAAATCGCCATTCATTGATTTTTATTTCTATTTTCAAGCAAATACCCAGACCTAAACTTCGCCCTATATGTTTCTCTATTTAGCCAAGTGTACGTGACGCAAACAGTGAGCCTGGGTTACCTGTGGTTCCACTGTATTCATTTGACTCTGATGATGACCTCCGCATAAGTTGTCGAACGTCAGTCACCACCACCGACAACAGTCCTTCTCAGGACTACACTCACCCGGATGATCACACTACACTTTCAAACTTTTTTTATGACTGGAACTTGCACCTGCCCCACAGGTTCTGCAACTTTGTTGTCTTTCAAACATTTACTCGCGCATATCAATTCCACATTGCACTCGAAGTCATGTTGTTACCTATACAAACATGATGGTGTCACGTGGTGAGAAGCACATCGCGAATCTCTTTGCCGAATGCCTGTTACGAGAGGCTGTTCACAGTTTTCAAACTTAAGCTTGGTTTATATCAATTATATCCCCAATAGCTTCATTATGCTTTAGTAATGTGTGCGAGAATTATCCTGAGGTTATGTTAAAGAAGTTGCAAGACTAGTGTCATGCCGTATGAAGACAATTTGCAATTTTCTGTCAAACCGTTTTGGAAATCTGACTTCCTGACCGTTTTCGTTCGAGTGCCTCCAGACTTCCAGATCAATTGAAGACTGCCTCCAGATTGGATTCTTCAAAGGGGTTTATAACTTAACATACGTTAAATATTCAATCTTCGGGTGTTGTTTGAATAAGAAACTTATGTAAAGTGAGTAACATTTGAGCGCGGAAGAGAAGACGGAAGCATTTAGTCACATTTTCTGTCCCTGTAGAAAGTGAACCGAAGAACGTCTAACTAGGTAAGCTACGCGCGGTATCCGTTTTAATCGTTTTTATGTCACGCCCGCAAGAATGTAATTAACTGTTGCTGTTAACCTTTTGTTCGACATCACGTTTTCTATCGATTTTTGAAAAAAACATAACTATGTAATATATCAAGGAGAGAAGAACTTGCTCAGAAGTTTATTTAGAAGATGCATAACTCGTCTTAAATTTGCAACTTGAACGGAGGAATAAAGTTTTCATCTGTTGTAAATACATATCAACTCTATTATCAGTTTTAATTTCGGTAAGTTCTTTATTGAGGGAAAAAATATACTGTAGTTTGAAGATTTTCAGGTGACGTGACAATAAAAACGCAGAAAACATCTAAGCTGGACAAGCCTGTTAAGCGAAGATACATATCTTTATTCTTCAGCCATTTCAATACGCAACTGAAGTAATTTCAGGTCTCAAACACTGATCTTCACCGATAATTTGTCAGACAGGGTCAGCACAAAAGCTGCTATATCCACATTTTTGCTCAAATGCGCTAATTAATTTATCCTTATTTTTGAAATCTCCACGTCAGGTTCAGTTCCATTGACTTACTGCGAGCCGCATCATCATCCCTGTATTCTTTCTTTCCTGCTGATTTTTGTTTCAGCGTGAAACTCCATCGAGATATTGCCAGAGAGAGACGCAAGTATAACCTTTAAGGGGGTAGCATAGAGGGTGTCCTGATCCCGTTTCACGCAAGGACGATCGCAAAATTTATGTCACTCATAAAAAAGCAAAAACCTTCAAAGTGCTATTCTTGTGTATAAGATTCCAGGGAAGTCTTTAGGTTTTCAAGGAAATGAAAAAAGATGTACGAGTGACGTATACTTCAGGAGGCAAATCACGCCTCATGCTGATTGAACAATGAAGGAATCACGTTCGCCTTTCTGTACACCATTTTATGCACATGTCTCGATCCTCTCCAAAATTTTTTTCTTGTTTATTGTGATTTTTTAAATCTTTAATACTGACACAGAGATAAGAAAGCATAGGATGCTAACGAGTTTCCGCTTTGTACATCAAGTAAAAATTATGTAGCTGTTTATTTCCCCTGTACTGTAAGCAAAACAGGAAGCAGAAGAAAAGGACGGAGGGGTTGGACGTGATCAGGAAGTTTAATTTGATAACAACTTCAGCGTCCGAATTAGTGAAGTCTTTTAAAAAGGCATTTGTCGAACATTAGTTGTTAGACGGGGACTCACAAACGTCCGGGGTGGATTACACGGTGTAAAAAAGTCAACAGCTACCCAATACCCAAGCAAAAACTAAAAACACATTTACGAAAGGTAATTTTTCTTAAGTAAGTACATCATAGTTTAATCGTCCTCCGAAAAACTTTGGAAATGCCTGTTAAAATCATAGTGATTTCAAACTAACGTCCCGCATTGCTTTTCAGGACACGTTCGTTTGGAGCTGTTCTTTAAAGGGCGACGCTCAACCAGGTTGGTTCTTTAAGAGTCTATCGTCTATTTGCCAGGTATTTCTGTCCTTTTCATTCTTTTCATTTCATGCGTGTGTGACCGTAAGACGGGGTAACGTTTTCAATCGATCTCATACCTAATCCCATCTAAGTATTTGAGTGACCTTTCTTCCGGTGAAATTTTATTCAGAGAAACCGTTTCTCCAAAAGTTCATCTTGGTATCCTCTATTATTTAAGGGTATTTTGAAACACTGCATGTTGAAAAGTACATTCGAGAATTTTTAAAGCAATGTTTGATGAAATGGACCGATCTCACCTTAGTAAACTGGAAAAATAAGACGGATAGAAATCCCCCGAACGTGCAGCAACTAGCAGTCAGCGAGGCTGCGAAATGTTGGAAAAGAAAGATCGCCCCCGTCGGCCGGTTACTATTTTCTGTGTTGTTAGTGCGCAAGCACCAGCAGTGACATAAGCATTGGTCTGTTCGAATGAAGTCAAAACACAAAGCTACAAGCGTACCAAGTGATAATATCAACTTACGCGCCGTTTATTCCCACAGCCTCTTACAGTCAAGAAACCTAACTGCAGAGATGGCTTGCAAGAATGATAAAGGGTTCATTAAATTCCTGGAGGAAAGCAAAAACTTCACAGGTTATGATCCAATGAAAGAAGGTGGACGGAAATTGTTGTATATACTTCCTAAAAATGTTGTTTATTTTGTTAATTCAGATATTTCCCTAATTCACCAATTTAATGTAGGGTATTTAAACCCCCAAATAAACTTATTCTAGATGTAGTGCCTTGTTTGGAAGTCGAGGGGGAGGTGCTCTATTCTATATGTAGCGCCTTGCTTGGCACGGGGGGATACTCTGGATTTCAAATAACAGGGATGATCGAACGGAGACAAAAATCGAAACCCAAAAACAATCCTTGGACAAAAATTTAACTCGAACGAATTCCATGTCGAATTTCTACTTCACGGCCGGAATACGCAAGAACCATCACCGATATGCAGATTGTTTGGGATACCCCAAAGATTCCTTCTTCAGTCAAGCCAGCCGAAAAATACATGGCAAAATTTTCCTACCCGAAAAAAATTCCGAGATCGAAAATTTCAAATCATCTTTTATCATCATGCTCATAATTTCCCCTCTAGATAGTTTAACTTACTCATTTTGCATTCTGCATTGTAAATTGCTTTGGCAAATTAAGCTCGGCTGTTGCAAGACATATNTTCGTTGTCGCGACAGAGAGTAGAACAGAGTAGTGCAGTCTAACGTAGTGCAGTCTAACGTAGTGCAGCCTACATTGTGCAGGTTCGAACTGAAAATTATAATTGCATACGTTTCAGCTAAGATACAGCATTGGCTACATAGTCACATTACAGACAATTAATCGGTGCTTAACAACGCAAAAAGACGATTCAGAAAAAACTGATAGACAATATTGGTTTCGTAGCGTGACAAAACCTCGACCTTAAAAGGACTAGTCAGTTGGAGATAAAGACAATTAAAGTACTTAGGGTAAAAGAAAAGAAACTTACTTTGATGACGACTCGCACAGATGATAGCAGAAAGTATCGCTAATAGCAGTCAAATGGTAGCCTGTAGCCTGTAGCTGATTGATCCTACAATCATAACGGTTGCGGAATAACTAACTAGTATGGTTATTACGAGTTGCCTTTTAAAACACGCGCATGCGTGATTGTATCTGGGGCGTCACTTGAAAGGTTTAAACCTACACTTTTTCGAAGTGTTAATTAATTTCCTAAAATCACGGATTTAGCTTCGAGAAGCACGAATCTGCAAATTCCTAATCAATGCGTGGTACATTTGATCACGTTTAACTGAAACTAGAGCTATCGATTTTTACTGAAAAATGTTGTAAATGCACGAGGCGTATTAAGACTAACAGTATTCTTTCTGTCGGTTGAATTATACAGTAGCAAATTATACTTCAATCTCTTTTCTTATGAATTCATATGCTCTTTCTTTTATTTTGTTTAGCCCAAACTGAGGAGCTGAGAAAGTTAACTTTCACTCAAGGGATGGTAACCCTTATCAAAAGTGAAATAGGGAACTTCTATGAAGACCTTGGAGTACTTCTTGGAGTTCGTGAAGGTGACCTTGATGACATTGAGACTCGTTACTCAAGACCTACAGAAAAGGGAGGTGCTGTTCTTAGAAACTGGAAGGATAGAGAGGGACCCCGAGCAACCGTGGGACGTCTTGAGACCGCCCTCAATAGATTGGGAAAGAAAAGGATCGCAGTCAAGCTGCTAGGTACTTAAATAAGAACGTTTTATAGAAATCGTCCTTCTCGGTTGAAAAAAATCTAGAGCATTTACCTGATGAGGTCTTTACATTTACTTTGATGCAAGAAGTTAAGGTGGTCATAGTGTTTTGAGTTGCTCTCAGTACCAGCAATGTGCACTTGCAGTATTCATTCACTCTCATCATTGATTTTCTTTGTTTTTGGAATAGATATTGCGGGGGAAGAAAAACGAACAGAAGACGGGTCAGAAGAGCATCGAAAAACATTTAGCAGTCCTTTCGAAGGTATGATTAATATTTACAGAGATTTTACCTTTACACACTGTGAATAATTAATGATTGTATGAATATTGATGCATGCACCATCTTTAGTGTCTCACGCTTTCATGTTAACCGCCTCCCAGGTAGCTCAATGGATAGA